ACTGTGAAAATGTGCTTGAGAACTGCATTTGAATGTAGCTGTCCATGGCATCTGGACATGACAGTTAGTGACCTTGAGCACTGAACATTGTGCTGTTGAAAAAACAACCTACTAGTATTTGTAAGTCCTTATGGTTATGCATAAGTGAGATCCAATTCATCTTTCCTCTCTTCTACTGATGTGTGTGTCAGAAACTGTATTCGGTTTATTAAAACACATGTGGCAAATCTAGGCAGTTTAAGCAGTTTATTTCTTTCACCAACTGAGGTTTGAATCTGTACATTTCAAACTCAGCTCTTCGCATCTACAATTCAGTACCATGCATTTTTACTTCAGGAGTAGGTTTTAAAAATTCATTTTCTACTTCCTATTCCCCATTAAGGGTCTCTCTGTTTTAGTTTGTTTCATATGTATATATTTGAAAAGCTTCCAGTCTCATTTGATAAAGGCTTTAGGAGTCTTGTCAGATCACACATGCTTTTCCTGCATTTCCTCCCTCCTATTTACTCATGAAATAAATTTCCCAGGTCAGGGAGCTGAGGGATTGTTACTGGAAATCTGGCTCAGCCTTCAGGAGGGACATGGTGTTAAAGAGGCATCATTTCAAGACAAGGGGCCTGAAGAGATTGATAAAAAGGTGATTAATGTGCACCTATATTTGTGTATGTAACAGATTTCTGTTGATGCTACTGAAGCCATGGAGTTCTGTGAGCTTCAGTGCACTGACATACAAAACCACTAGCTATCCCCAACATTTTTCTTCTATTTAACAAACTAGGTAGCTTACAAAGCACATAGCTGTTTGCCTCAAAGTTGTCATTCTCACATTTTGTTCTAAAATGGTTTTTTTTTCTTTTTTTTTTTTTTCTTCATGGTTTTATTCATGAGCTTGTCAGACCTTGTAGGCAACAAATAGAAGTCTTTGACCTCAGCTTGTAGACTTGAGTGGCTTCTAAAGAACTAATCAATTCTCACTACAAACAGAAACTCACGACAACCTTAATTAGTGTATTTGTTGTATAAGGATACCTAAAGCATAGTAACTTACAGTAGTTTTCTATATACCTGTAGACTAGCCCAGATTCAGCAAAGCACTGAAATTTCATCCCTCTTGGATAGTCTTGTTCAACTGTTCAGTTCTTTATATGCAGTCTGGAAGAATGAGTTAGATTGCTCTCCAAGTTAGTGACAGAGCCAGGAAAAGTCTTATCCTGACACTTTGTGGCTTCTAGTTTGAATTCTATTCTGTGATTCTGTGATAGCTGTACTCATGCTGCTGGGATAATGCAGCGATACTGGGATTTAGTGGAGGTGCTCCTTTCCAGTATCTACATTGATAGATTGGGTGATCTCACTAATCTTTGAAGCACATTCATACAGGAAAAACTTTTGCATGGAGCATCTGCATTTAGAGCTCTCTGTAGGAGTTTGTTCTTCTCTATGCAAATTTATATCATATTTTTTTTTAATCAGTTAAGAATTCTCAATAGTTTCGAGTTTTGTGTGAGTCAGAAGCACAAACTAAGAGAGGAAATTAGGGTTTGGCCCCCATTTTGGCCTCATTAAAACCAAAGCTGCTAGTTGTGGTGTTTACATTACACCAGCTTGAGGGGAGAAGGAAGGGAATTCTTCTGTATATTAACTGTCTGGGTGATTTTCTGCAGCTGCTTTGAGGAATATGTCTGTTACTTACATTGTAACTTGGATTCTACAGACATGTGGCAAAGAGCACAGTTCTCCAGAAAGCAAGAGTTTGACTGATGGAAAACAGAAAACAGCAATCTGAAGGAAATCTTGCTGGAGGAGGAGCACGAAACAGAAATTTACTGTTGAAACCAGACTTCTGCTCTGGGCTTAAGTACCACACTCAAGCCAGTTCTGCCAGACTTGAGTGTGGCTCTGCACAGATGTAAGGAACCACTTTTTGGACCTAACTAAGCCGAGAGCTTGAGTATTTTTCTGGCATTCAAACCAATGTAGAAATACATGGGTTGTACTAAGGGACGTGGTTTAGTGAGGAAGTATTGGTCCTAGGTGGGCAGTTGGACTGATGATCTTGGAGGTCTTTTCCAACCATGGTGATTCTTTGATTCTGTGCGTGGCAACAGAGGAAACATGTATAGCAGACAAGCTTTTTTTTTTCTATTTAATCTTCCTTTTTTCTGGCTTTCCACTTTCTTGCAGCTCAGCACTTGCAACAGTGCAGATGTAAGCCTGAACTGCCAAGGTTTCAACTCATTTATTTTTCTGTTTATTTCAGAATCCAGCAGACTTACTGATTGGCAGTCATGTCGGTCAAACTCACATTCGTCTCTTCTGGTGATGGAGGTGGTATCAGTAGGAGCTGTTCCTTCACTGGATTCAGCACTGTGCAAAGCAGAAAATTAGCGTAAGTAAAACAAACAAACAAAAAAGTTTCTGACCCTCCAGACAATAAATATTAGATACTAGGAATGTATTTTTCAACCCAAAACATCTGTATACAGGAGTCGTTCCTTCACTTTTCATTTAAAACGATTGACTCTTGTCATGATCAGTGTTAACAGTTACACTTCACGTTGTATTATTGTACTGCTATACACACTGTACTTCAGAGATGGCTGGATTTCTGATCTGTGAGAGAAGTTATGTATCAAAAACTAGATAGCATTCATTTCTTAAAAAAAAAAAAAAAGACAGTCTGGAGACTCTATTGTAATTACTGACCTCCACTTCACTGGAGCTCAAAAGCGGATATGATTGCAGAGATGACCTCACTTGCAAGTGCTGAAGTAGGTCTGATACTAAAATTAAAAGGATACAGATAAATGATATAAAAAAAACAGTTTTCTAACTTCCAGAAATTAGTTCTTGAGATCTCAGCGTGCTCAAGAATTAGTATTAGTACTCTAGTAGGAGACATTTTTCCTTCAAGCCTGTTCTAATGACCCTTATAATAAGGGATGTGTTCTGACTAATACCAGCTTTCTGATAAAATGGAAAGTGTTCAGAATAGCTATGGTAATTAAAAATTTCATAGACCTTTGAAAAGATAGAGATATTAATGGTGAATCCTGATGAAATATGTAATTGAGCTCGACTAAAACTCTCCTGGAGTTATTTAAGCAGAGTAGCGTTACACAAGAGGAGGGACTGCTTTCTGGCAATGCCACAAACAAGAGCAAGGGAGGGAGACCAAGAGATCAAGAAGGCTATTGCAAATTCACTACTGTCAGTAATGGGTCAATAGTATAACCAAGGTTGCTGTCTAGTCTTTCGGTTTTCAGTCCAACACAGTAACTGCTAAACCATCCAGCACTGTTTTTCCCTTTTTGCTTATTTGATGTTGTTGTGTAGCATTGCTTTATGCAGATGACTATCCAGCTTTTTTTCCCTCTAGAAGTGTTCTTGTTCTTCTGCATTTAGTGATCCCTAATTTATTTGTATAGCCTGTGGAGGGCTTTTTGAAGATGTGATAGACAAATTCAAAGTAGTATTATCTCTGGCTGCCAGTGCATACTAGAGTAATAACAAAGTAAATTATTTCCAGGTATCTTAGAGTTACTGGAAAGTATGCCTCTAAAAGTACTGTACTAAAAAAAAATCCAAGTGTATATCACTAAAATTCTGGACTTGTTTAGTAAAATATATTTTCAAAGAACCAAAGGACTGCATTAACTTTTAGGTAAACATATCATAGTAAAGTACAAGATATGTACAGAAATGAAATTCCGACTGTGATATGATCAAGAAGTCTTTATATTGGAGTAAATTAATTTGTCGTGGAAGCTGGAAAATAGTCCTACACTCAGCAAGAATTAGACATCTAAAATTACACCAATGATCTTGAAGAATTATTACACTGGTAATAAATTACATAAACAGACTTGAGCTCAAGTACATTGTGGGAGTTGTAGCAGGCAAAGGATCTACCAGGAAAGGGGTACAGCTGTTTCTTCAATAAAGAAAGTCTAAGAATGCTCAAAACAGAAAAATTTCTTTATCCCTTAAGATAAATCTGTTATTTCTAGCTGCAGTGGTTTTCTAGCCAAATGCCTATACATTTTTCTATGCATTTTTTCTTGTATTCCTTTTTGTTTTTTAAGTGTTTAGTCAAATAGTCTTGTGCAGGAATCATGATATTAAGAGAGATCTTTGTACTAGCTACTCAATCATAACCTGGCAAATACCCAGGAGCCTTCTCCAACGTGATAAGTCTTAAAATCACCCTCTCTTAACTTAATTCTCTCTCAAGCAGCATTGCAAAACACAGCAGGAGACTGCAGGGGCCCAATGCAAGGTTTATTCAAAGGATGACACACAAATCAGGTCCACATGGATTCTTAAACAGATGCTAAATGTACGTTTGTATTTGTTTAGCAACTTTCTGAGGCTCTCAATCAGGCGCACTGTTTAATTTTTCTTCACAGTGGTCTCCACAGGAAATGATATTACTGTTACCTATAAAATAGGAAATCTGATACTTACATTACTAAGTTCACAAGGGAAAGCAGTGACGTAACAGCCACCTTTAAGTGCTGTCCTTAAAATCCCAAGCTAGCTATTCAACATTTCTATTCAATGTATGAAAATAGGATTCTAAACATCAGTGCACTGAGTACCTATTGGCTATGTCACCCAGAAGATAGTGGGGAAAAGTGAGTTTTAAATCAGTCCATTCCTATTTATTGCTTACATGCAATATTTGAAACTGACGGAAGGTGGTTTCCTAAGTTTAGGCTTTGCAGCCTGAAAATCTGAAGGTAAACACCAAAGCCTTTCATCCCCCACAAAAAACAAACAAAAACAAGAGTAATTTGGGCTTTTAAATTTCAAAAGATAGAATTATGTTCTGTATGGTACCTTGCCATTTAGAATACTCATCTAAAATATGAATATGGATGCTTCTTTGCATGAAAGAATTTTAATTAGTGATCATTCCAGGAGATAGTTTTAACTGTTGTTTTTGGCTGTACTGTTACTTCCAGTGTTATTCCTGTTGCAAGTCTCTCACTTTGCACAAAATACTCAAAGATTTGTTATTTTAGAGGGGAAAAAACTCACAATGGTATTGTGGATTTTTAATTCAGCATTTATGTTCCTTGGTATAGGTAACCTAAGCTCAAAATGATTTCGTTGATCAATGCTTTACATTAAGCCATCATTAAAAAAAAAAAGTCACTTAAGATAATCATTGGGGTGAATAAACTAAATATCTCGTGATCTTTGGCAGCAGATTAGATGTTAAAAGAAAAGAAGCAGAAACTGAGCACCAGGATAATTATTCCATCACCCAGCTTGATAATCTTGTTAGGCACTGAGTCACATGCCTACACCTTAAGGCAACCAGTGGATAATTATTAAGTCTATTTGAGTTCACCATTTTCCCAGGTGAACTGAATTTAGGATGGGGATAATAGAGAAGGCGGAAAGCTTCTCTGAGTGCAACCAGTTGGCTCAGCTTCATGGAATAGGAACCTTCTTTAAGACAATGTTATTTTAGAAGCTTGCCTTTTGGGGAGTATTAACAAAGCTGGATAAAAATAATTGAGACTTTAAAGAGACTAGATAAGGTGTTGTAATTCCTCAGGTTAGTAAAAATGGCCCTATGTATGAGACTTCTGTTAGAGACAGTATTTAATTTTGTTTTTGCAGTTGCTTTTGGAAGTAAGTGAGGTGTTAGATACTTTGAAAAAACACTTTGATAATTATATCTTGTATGTAACCTGAGCTTGGCAGTAGGCTTTCCTATAATATGCTGGGGGTCTAGATGATCTATTAAGTGGCTGATGAAGGTTGGCAAAGAACTCTAAGGACTTTTTTATATTAGCTTTGTCAGTCCAAAAGATAATAGCTTATCTAGCCCCTTGGTAATGTTTTAAGGCTAATCACGTGTGTTTGTCCTACTCTGTGTACTTGTGCCCAAGTGAGTGCTTAGAAATGTAAATTGTTAAGTATTTCTCTAGAGTTTACTGGTAGCTGGAGGGCAGAAGTCTCCTGAAATCTACTTCTGGTTTGCAGTTGTTAGCGAAGGTTTGTTGCCTTATTTTACTGGATTGCAGATGAGAGACAGAACGAGAGTGATCCTGTCCTGCGGTATGACTTACATGACTGTCTCTGTTGTTGGCTCAATAGCCAGTGTGAATGTGTGTGTGGAATCAGAGACTTAGCTAACGCCAAGCAAGTCTTAAGAGAAATGCTAACAATGTGATTGTTTACCGTTTATTTGCCTGAAGGCTCTTCCTTAAGTCTGCTTCTAGCCTGTAGAAAGAGCCATTTTGTAGTTCTGTTGGAGTCACAAAAGAACTTGTCTTTTCTGCATTAGGTATTTAAGGCTGTGCTTTAATTTTCTAATATTGTCTGTGAAAGTGTTCTTTCTGTATCAAGAGCTTTGTTCTTTTCAATAAAGCTATGTGGGATGGGGCATATAACTCGTAGCCTGGAAACTAACCGTAGGTTAGATACCTCTTTTCTTCTAGGTGATGCATTTTTCATCTCTTCCTTATTTCCTTTCTTTTCCTACAGAAAGTCTCTCAGCAGAAGCTCAGTGAGATCAAGAATGTCATTGAAATCCCCCAAGGCTTATTCTTCACTGCAGAAAGGGGCAGTCATCTGGGATCCAAAACCACTGCAAGTGAAGAAAATTTTTGAAGCTTTGAAGAAAGGACTTAAGTAAGGACTCTCTTAAATACTGTAACTTATCATACCTAGTCATGCTGCTTAACTTTGTATATCATGTTGTTCTGTGTCTCCATCTGCCATACTTAAATTTTCGTAGTAACTTCTCTAGGCAATGGATTGAAATTTTGGAAGACAACGCTTTCATTTGTGCTGAGCCAATCTGCTCACAAACAAAATGTTCTAGGTTCTCTGTTGTTTTTGTTTTTTTGTTTGTTCCTTGTTTGTTATGCTTCTTAAAAAAAAAAAAAAAAAAAGAAAAAGAAAAAAAAATCAGTGACAAGTAAAATTTTGTTGGGAAATTGCCTATTATTTCTGGAGCAACTGAGATATCTCAAGAAAGGGAGGCTTTCAGAGTAGGAAGCAGAAAGCCTGAGGATAAAGAAGATAATTTAAGAGGGATAGGACAGCTGGATTTTGGTGGTGATTTGAAGAAAGCTTCTAGAAGAGGAGCTATTCATGAGCTGTTTCTGTTATCTCTATGCTGATAACATGATACATAAGATATAGAGCTGCTGTAAGGTAAAGGTCTAAGCAGATCCATCTGAAAAACTTAGTTGACTTGAGGTGATGAAACAAATCTTATACTATAACCCCATCTTCCAATGGAAGTACTAACAAGATTAAGCTCCTTACTTCAATTTTATTGCTTTAAAGCTAGTACTGTTTCAGAGGTTTGATCATAATTGACCACACGGACAATGCTGCATTAGTATGAATTTGACTAAAAAGGATGAAAGGTCCAATTTGTCTGTTCTCTCTGTCTGTCAGACATGGGTGTATGCAGCAGGCATAACAGAAATCAAAGAGGGCTGGCAGTGTGAATTTGGGGTGTTCTGGCTTTGAGGAAGCTGTCAGTTTCATCACTGAAATGCTGATATTACTCAGCGCTTAAATGGCGAATAAAATATGGGTGAGCTTGCATTCTTGGTATTACAGACTGTAATAAATGTGGTGATAAAATGCCATTTGTGTCCATCTTTGATTCCACCAGTGCCTAAACTTTAAACTGCACCCTCAGACCTTACTATATGAAAATATACATCTTAAATCATTGGAGTTGATGTCAGTGAACCTGGTCTAATGTTGTAGGAACTTCATTTATGCTCTAAGGCTGCTGTTAGAAGATAAAATAGCATCCCTTGGATTTGCAGAAATTGTAACTTTTCCCTGCTGGCATCCCGTGAAATTTGTTCCTGTATTTTTTTGTTTTCCTCGGAACTCTTCTACTGTGTTAATTCTGATCATAGTTTTCTTAAGAGCATGAAAAGCACTCTAATAACTTACATGCTCACAAGTGTCACTTTTTTTTTTTCCAATAAAGAACTGTGAAGTCCTGGTCCTAAAATAAATAAAAGAATCAGTAGATGTCTTATTAGAATTTAGATTTAAAACAAATAATGGAATTAAATATTTTTGCAGAGTTTAGATTTTAGCACAGCTTAGGGAGGAGAAACTATAAAGTGGATCAGAGTTTGTTCCCAGTTCTGCAAAGAGCGCCATGTGATCAGACTCCTGCCAAAACTGAGTAGCTAACTAATTGACTAAAGTAACCTACAGAAAACAACTGTATCAAATGGCAATATGAAGTCCAAATTTTAAGTAGATACAGATTAAGACTGCTTGGTGCTGGAGTAACTTGAATTTTTAGTACAGAATGTTATATGTGCCTCTTTCTTAATAGTTGTAGCAAATAACTTTTCTGTTAACCATCTGGGTACCATTCCATCAATCTGGCAGTGTTAACATGCTTTAACCTAAAAGTGACAAAGCTCTCCTAAAAGGAAAACAAACTTTCCTGCCAGCAGTGCTGGATGTTCCTGCAGTGAGCTATTAATGGACAAGTGTGAAGAGCAGGCAGCTGGATGCTCTGCCATTGAGTATCTTGGGTGATCTGATCTTGTAACAGTAGGAAAATCAAATGCATCAAAGCTAACTTGAAGTGTAGTTGACTAATGTGATATTATTTTAACTGCTCTGTAACTGTGTCTTATGTAGTATATACCAAGTGGCTTTAATTCCCTTTTAAATATGAGAGGAAAATTGGAAGGAGATATTCTCAGCAGAAATAGTTAAAGGCCTTATAAGAATTCTTAAGGGCCAACCTTTGCATGCAAGCAGCTGTAAAGAAGCCAACTGGCATCAAGTTCTTCACACTTTGCAAAATAGTTCCTGCTCTGGAAAAAGTGACAGTTTCATTAAAGAGTTGTCTAGCATTCTAGAAGGTGGTATTCAGTTCTGCATACTTAAAAAAAGTAGATGATATCTGCTCTACCTTGCATACAGTGTATTTCTGTAAGTTTCATTCTGTAATGCAAGTGGTTAATGCTGCAGGTTACTTTTTTTTTTTTTTTTTAAGATGGGGTTGGTTGATGAAGACTTACTCCTCCATAGCTGTAAGAAAAGACTTGCTGAACAAATGAACTGATTTTTCTACCTCAAAAAAAGTATTCTGAGATTTTAGTGGCTGTAGGTTTCTCTTTTACAGGTGCTTCTATATATCTGTCCCTTGATCTTCTAGGAATAACTTGGCATTGAGAACAAATAATTACCAATGGAAACTGCCCTTCCTCATCTGTTGATCTATGTCCATCTGTAAGGCCATTCATTCCTCTAGAGAAGAAAAGGGAATTTCTAGAGAAGGAATATGTTTTTTAACATTCTACTGAAAAAAAATCTTTGAGAAGATATCATAATGAATATACCAGAAAAACGTAATGCTTCTGGTTTTCTTTCTCTCCAGCGAGTATCTAGAAGCACATCAGGCTGAGTTGGATTATCTCTCTGATCGACACAAAGATACAAAAAGGAACTCCAGATTGGTACGTAGATCTTAATAACTAAATGAATTTTAAAAGGCTGGCACAAAAATAGGTGATATCTCTCACATCTGGAACTCTTGGGGGTTTTCTAGTTAAAGCACTGAGGTGAGACCCAGCAAATCATCACAATCTAGAATTTCTGGAGCAAATTATGTTTAGGTGTAAGCTTGAAATTTCCCTCTTTCAGCATCCACCTTTGTTGTTTAGATCCCACTCCTTTTCTTACTAGGGTTTTATTTCCTCAAGTCTGAAGTAGAAAGACCACACTTTGTTTTTAATAGCTGATAAATGTATCTTAGCAGCATAGGTTCTGATCTATTCACAACTCCCTAGAAGTATCTTCAGCAACAGTGCTAATGAAGAGAGAACTCACACATCCAAATTTCTTTCATTTGGGAAATGATAGGTAAAAAAATAAAGTCCTATGTGCCATGACCACATCCAAGTCATTTTTACATCTAAAGGTGAGAGGGCTGCTGTCTCAATTCAAGCAGCTGTGGTGGAGTTGGGAAAGCAAACCAATCACACACAGAAAACGAGACTACTTCTAAAGTTTTTGGGCTGTCTCCTTGTAGTAAACAATACATATTAATTTAGTGCATCTAGATTAAATGCATGGTGAGCTCCATCATAAATATAAAAAGTTGTTAATTTAATACAAAGATGTGGTTTCCTGTTCAATTTGTGCTATTTGTCTTTCAGGCCTTCTACTATGACCTTGATAAGGTAAGAATTGTGAATACTGCAAAAATGGAAAAAGTAATAATGCTTACTGTGTTACTTAAAGACATGTTTAGGAAATACTGAAAAATCTAATCAAGTTTGTTCTCTCTTTCTCTCTCTTTCTCCCTACCTACTTCAAAAGCAAATTCGCTCTGTGGAGAGATACATTAGAAAACTGGAGTTCCACATAAGCAAAGTAAGGGAATTTTGTCTTGTATGTGTGAGACATTTCTATATAAACAAACTCTCTGAATAGAAAATAGTTTGATTATAGTTTCTCTAAAGATAAATGATACTGGATACTTTCTGAAAGCTGTAACCACTCTGTTATGGAAGAAGGGGATTTTCATTTATTTTCTTGAATGTTTCTGTTCAGGCTGAATGTTTGCCTCAGCCCAACCTGAGTTTGCCTGTGAAACCAATTTGTGTACTCAACCAGTTTTTCCACAAAGTACTTCTGCTTCTAGGACATTTGTATGTTATCCCCCATCACCTCTGAAACGTGCATGTCTGTTTCTAAAGGAATTAAATCTCTCTTTAGACATAGCTAAAGTTGTAGGTATATTAATGTGTTTTAAGAGAATCAGCTTCCTGTTTTGTGAGTAATTTTGCCGTTAACAAGGTGTTACTCTACTTCCTGTCTTCTAGTCTAATAATTGTAGAGCAAATTATTTCTCAGTATCCCCTCCTCTTTGTTCTCAGGAGTATAAACAAACTGTTACCTTTCTACCAATCTGTAAAATGCATGAGTTGCAGCATGTTGCAGTACTAAGATAAAGGGTTTTGTTTGTGGGTCTTCTATTTTCTTTTTTTTCCCCTCCATTAAAGACTGACAATGTTCCTTATTGAAATTATCCACAAATCTTAAAGGTAGAAGAACTCTATGAAGCTTATTGTATCCAGTGCAGACTACGAGATGGCGCCACTAATATGAAACATGCCTTTTCCTTGTCTCCTTCCACCAAAGCCTCCAGGGAGAGCCTAGTGGAGCTCTATAAGAACTTTCAGGAGTGTACAGAGGTAGGAAATGCCACTACTGTGTAACGAAGACTTGACTGTTGCTTAGCAAAGAAAGCATCGGGAGCTGTTGATGTCTTTTCCAGTAATGGGGATTTAGAAATTTAACATGTGACTAAAATACAGTACATAATGCAAACTGAAACTCATGAGATAAATACCTTTCAGGCAAAGCTCTGGTTTCCTCCCTGATTTTGTTTGGCTTCAAGTTCTCATGAAGCAGAGGGTTGTTGGAGTTAGGATAGTATGGTTAGGTTGCAGTTGGACTTAATGATCGTTAAGCTCTTTTCCAACCAGAGTGATTCTATGATTCTATTCTATGATTCTATGAAGACAAATGAAAAACTCATTGCATTTCTGCTGTAATGTTGATGTCCATCGTGACTTCCATTGGAAGTAATGTGATGAGTATTGGATTCAAAATGTGTAAGTTATGCTATTTTTATAGAACAAGCAGTGGAAAGTAAGTGAAGATGAACTGATTAAAAGTTCCACTCTATCTTAATCTTAACAGTAGTATGAATGTTCTCTCCATTGACCTCCACTAGTGCAAGTGTTAGTCTGTTATATAAAAAAAAATATAAGCCAAAGCCATTTAAAGATAGCATAAGAACATGACATGTATGGAAAGGGAGCTACTATATTCACTCTGCTTTTCAGTCCTAGTTGACTGTTCAATCTTTCTTTTAGGACATGTGTTTCATAGAAGGGGCGTTAGAGGTCCATTTAGGAGAGTTTCACTTGAAGATGAAAGGTATGTTCTTGTCACATTTCTTTCAAGACTCATTAGTTCAATAAATAGACTCTAAACAAATCAGGTTTCTACCTAGGAAACCCAAAATTAATGTGAGTTGCTTCCAGTGGTTTTCTATATCTGACCCTGACCAGAATTTTTGGTGAAGCTCTGTTTACTTCAGTGTTGTAAAACAGATCTAGAATGTTATTTTATATTTGAGTACAAAAGCTGTTTTGGCCCAATGGGGTAGCTTCTGCATGAGGCTAAGTGCAAGGAGATATTGACTGAGCTACTGAGGCTTTGTTGGGACACTGTAAAACTCTTCAAATATTAGGAGCTTTTTTCTCTTTTCAGGCTTGGTGGGATTTGCACGTCTCTGCCCAGGTGACCAGTATGAGGTGCAGTATATAGTGATTCATTAATGATTATTTTGTCCTTTCTGTTATTGCTGTGAATTTGTAGTTGAGGAACTGGAGAGCAAGGGTACAGCGTGTAGAAGACAAGTGGGAAATGGGCTATGGTAGAACTGTGCCCTATCTTGATGAGGGCAGGGCCCTGGCATATTCACTGGTTACTCTGGCTTGAGATTGAGTAGCGAAGGATGTAAATTAAATGTTATGAGAGGATTTGAAAGACGGCAGTGATTGTCTATTAATATAAGCCTGGTAGGTCTTCAAAGTTGCCTTAGAATTAAGTAACAGTTGCTGCCTGTTTCTAGGAAGACTGCCCATGGTATAATTTCAGTGCAACTTAGTACTTCGTAGAGTTCCTCTGCTACTTCTCAGGATTGTAAATCAATTCCAATGCACCTCTGCACTGCATATACAGCAGTTTTGAAGGTCTTTTGAAGTGGATGTAGTATATAACTAGGCATTGATCGGAGATGTTAAAACTTACAACCTGAACCTTTGTCTCCAGTTTTCTACTTTTATCCAAGTTCCTAAATACATAATGATCAAAGGAACAACTTTGCCTCTGCAGTTTTGGAGCAGAGTTGAGACTTACAGTATGAAGAGAATGTTCTGGGATATGCTGACCTAACATCCTTTATCCTTGTGATTTCCAGGTTTCTGTGCGACTGGGGCGCCAAAAATGGAGGTTGAAAGGCAAGATCGAGACTGATGACAGCCAAACATGGGATGAAGAAGAAAAGATCTTTATACCCAATCTCCATGAGCCGTTTGAAATCAAGGTGTGGTGTATAATGGTTGGGTTGGAACCAGTGTGTTAATAGGTCTTCTGCCATACTGCTTTACCTGTTAGCCTACCATGTGTTTGTCAAAGCACTTAAGTAATTTTCTTTTCCTGGACATGTAAAAATGGCAGTTACTCAATTTTCAATGTATTGAACAGCATTCTGTCTGTTTTTCTTTTGGTACTCCTAGCACTGGTAGCAATAGTAGTGCTTCTACTTTCCCATGTTCTGGAGTCTGGTGCGTATGTTTAAAATAAAATCCTGGGTTCAAATCTAGGATATTGCAAGTTAAAGTGTAGATGTAGAAACTCAAATGTGTATGTGTGTAGTGCTTGTATCACCCATGTGGAAAATTAAGTACTTTGGGATCTGTTCTCTGCTGAAAATGAAAAATCGGTATAAGGAAAATATATTACCTCACATGTGCACTATTAAATGTGTAATTTCAGTGTCCCCTTATGTGGGTGTGCTGCGGATTCTTTTGTCTTATTTTACTGCAGAGATTCTCCATGTTTGCAAAGAGCCAATGACGCTTACATGCTGGTACAAACTGTACTTTAAAGAGTTATCAAATGTCTAAAGAAAGATATAAAGCACATCTAAAGTGGTCATGCCCTTAATAATAAGGGACTAGTGGTAGTGCTCTGTGATATATAGGTTATGTTTTTTGGGCATTCCTTGAGGGAAGCTTGTGGTCTTCATATAGCCTTGTGTGGCTGCCACTGGCATTGATTCTGGCATGTACCTAGCAGGTGGAGTTAATCCTTAAACAGTATTTCCAATGTAATCTGGCATCTTTCATGGGCTGGACTACGCAGCATGCATGACTCCTGTCAACTTAAAAGTAGCTGAGATTGAAGACTCTGCTGGATCCTGTCCTACTAGGAAACTGTGCTAGTGCATAGTTTCCAGTTCTGGTAGCTATTTTAAAAGAGCTATTGCAGTATTTCCCTTCTTACTGGCTACAAGAACTTAGTTTCCTTAGTTAGACTTTGTCACCTTGCCAAGACAGCCTTTAGAGGTATCCGTATGACACCTTTCTTGGTGCCACTGCGTGATGTAGATGGGGTGAGAGGGTAATTGAGAGGCAGTTTTCTCATAATAGTTGTAAAGCAATACAAGTTTTTCTGAGAAAATCACTTTGTTTTGGAAGAGCTAATACAAAGCTTTACACTTTTCGTTGACTTATGAAAGACTGACCAATATTTTTCGTGCTGTCCTCTTCTTTCCGTTTAGAAATACTGTACAGCTCTGTCTTCCTCCACTTGTGAACCTCTTTTTTTTTTTTTTGTGAACAATCCATGGCATATTCTTTGTGGAATATTGGCTCACAGCAGTTTAGGATCAGAGATCAGGGCTTTAAGTTTGTTGTGGGCATTTGAGCAGATCTGAGCCAGGAATGATTTCCTTTCCATGCAGGTGACTCTTAGGGTTGTCTTTTGAGATAAAAATGGATATATTTGTCTGTCCTAGCAGGTGACAGAACTGCGAGGACTAGCCACAGTTCTAGTTGGTGTCGTGACATGTGACAGCATAAACTTCTTTACAACCAAGCCTCAAGCAATCATTGTGGATATAACTGAACTGGGTACTATCAAGCTACAGTTGGAAGTCCTCTGGAAGTAAGTACATCTTAAAATTAAAAAAGCTGGAGTAAAATAAATAAATAAATAAAAGGCTCTTAAGTATGTCACTGAGCAGCATTCAACATCATAGTTCTCTTTCTATTCGCAGAGCAGGTGCGGGATAGATAGATGCCTTGTGCTTCCTCACAGCAACCACAGTTACTAGGCCTGATCTCTGATTCTGTGGGTCCACTCTCTAGGGACGTGGAGGGAAAGAACCTATTTCTGTGATGCTTCAGTTCTGTTATCGGTTATTAATGTAATCACAACCATGGCTAGCCACAAGAGCTGATTTTTTTTTTTACCTCGTTTTACTACTACTTTGAGTGTCCAACTCTAGCTGCATGCATACTGAAGCGATGTACGTATGTCTATAAAACATGAGCGATAATCTTAAATATGATGAAAAGAAACTGAAAATAGAAGCTTCTAGGCACAATTGAAAAGATATTCAGTTGAAATTTAAGACAGTCGCTATTACCAGGCCAAGAATCATTACAAAATGAACCTTTCTAAATACTTGACACCTTCATATTTGCACTATGATCACAGTTACTGATGTAAAGCTTGTTTCTGCACTGCAGGGAAACTTGGTTACGGAGACAAATTTAAAACAATTGGTTATTTTCATTGTGCCTGTGACTTGTTAAACTGTTTCAAACTTTACATTTGCACTTTTTTGTACTGGACTACTGATGTTATTAAATTCTTGCTTTTGTGGATGCTGCACTGGAACTTATTCCTCACTCTAATCACACCACTATAGATCTTCAAGGTAGTACTGTTACTTTTGCTGTGTCATCTTATTTGTGTGTACCACTGCAGTCTTGCCAGGCTGTATGTTCTGTTCTTGCTCAATTTGGCTATGACTGAATGGATGTATGATGACCCTAACGTAGCCCTTTCCCAGCAGCAGTATCTGATATTTTTTGATTTGTGACTGTGATATCTTCATATTGTGTGATAACTCCTTGAACTTAATAAGACATTTTTTTTTAATATTAAAGTCACTCTCTTTTCCTGAGAATCTCTGAAGGAGTGAGGAAAAATCTTACAGTTGGTTAACAACTGGCTTTTTTTCCTGGGTTTGTGAGAGTTTTGTATATATGAATACTCTGATGTAAAGTTGCCTGTGTTTTTTTTTTTAGCTTAAGTGGAAAATAGTTATGTCACTCTAAGCTTACAGCAGATCAGATGATTGTTACTGGGAAAAGAATGCCAGCTTCTTGGGAAACTGACAACCACTAAAGGTTTGGGACTGTCGGAACATACTGACAGACTCACTGCAACAAATCAAAATTATTAACCTGTTTCTGTTGGTACCAGTCAGGGATTAAGTCTAGCCATTTTACTGAAGTGCTCAATTAAAGGGCTACCCTCACTTGTATTTTTGTATCTGGCTTACTGCAGTTCTCAGTTCTTCCCAGCCCAACATGTCTAAGAAGACTTTGGTCACATCTTATAATAACAAACCTTCTGAAAAGGCCAACTTGTTATGACTTGTGGATCTAGACTCCTTCCAGGGGAAGCAGAAAACAAGCAGTGTGTAGATTAGGAAGGGCATGATGCAATGTATTGCAGGACAGGCTTATCCATGGCTCAGCTTTACACAGCTCTTCTCTGACCTAGGTAGTTTCTTTCTTCTTCAAAAATCACATAATTTAAAGTTTTTAAATGCTTTTAGTGTGTGGTCTGCCAAATAGATCTCTCAGAAAGAAGCAGTTGCCTGCCATTAGGATAAAGTAACTGAATGTGTTTTACAGTCAGACTCAACTTTCAAGTTTTAATACCATACTTCTACTTTTAATTACTTCTGGATCCATTATTTGACTTAAACTTTGCTACTGCCTTTTAAGCTACCAGAACAAATGCCATATGAAAGCTTTCTGGTGCACTTCCTATTCAGGGGTCGAGAGACAGTTTTCATGCTGATTTTTCTGGTAGAGGGGAAATAAGAGCTTTATTGATAAATGTACTGTTTTCTGAATTTTTGTGTATAGTGCAGTTCTTGAAAACCCATTCTGTTATCTGTAAATGCAGCTGGGCTGAAACATAGGTTTGGCAATAACATGAAATTTGTTTTCAAATGCACATGCTGCTCTAAGTCAATGAGAAATAAACTTGCACAGCGGAGTTGTTATACCTGTTGTTTATTACACTTTTTCCTCCTGAGAGCTAACATTGGTATCTCAATATGTTTTAGTGAAGTGCTGCAGCTGGTCTGAACTTTTGAAGCCTCTGTTATTTATTTGAGAAGCTAAGTCACTAATTGCTTGGATAACAAAGCCCTGCTCCAGAAACTTGCTGTGATCGTGCATTATATGCCATGTGAACCTCCATGTTATAGCAAGATGTGTGTATGCTCATTTGAATCTGGAAGCAGACGTATTAGTAGTAGTTACTGAAAAGTACATAGGGTGAAGATGTTGCAAGCTGCATAACTTTTTTTTTTTAATGTTAAATATGTAATTTTTTTTTTAATGAAAGGCTTTTTAAATGAAGGGCAGTTGGTTGATTTTCTTTAACATTTCGTATATTAGAACTGGTGAAGAAGGGAGAGAAGAGGGCATGGGGACTTCATGGGCTCCTACATGTCCCTAGCAAAGGGGTGCCTTTCTGATGCCTTCCTTGTTTGTTTCCTCCCCACCCAGTCAACAAACACACACATCCAAATATTCCTCCTTTAATTTGGATATAAAAATCATCAAAAGACCTCTAGAAAATTTCAGGCAGAAATAACTACAAGTAGAACAGTGTTTACAGAGGTTCTTTTCTTACATGGGAAGTCATTTTCCCTATGACTTCAAGTCTTCAGTCTTAAGGAGATGTATTTGTGGAGTAAAGAGGATGTTCTTTATTAGGGTAGAACCAGCTTTTATACCTAGTTCTCTAAGTGCTGTACTGAATGATGGCATGCTTCAGGTAGAGTTTGAAAGAGATCACTGCAAAATCTGTCTGTTTACCCACATAAATGTTGCTGTAACAGATGGATTGAGTTAAAATTTGCTGTATTTACTTGCCTTTCCTAACTGTCAGTAACTTGCATAAATGTATATTTAAGTTTTTCTTCTAAAAGGACTCTATGAGGAAAACACCTTCCTATTCTGGGAGATATATATAAATATATATATATATATATATATATATATATAAAAACATGGTTGATCATATAATAGCTTAAGTCTCCAAAGCAAATAGTATTTCTGACTTTCTGGCGGTACCTCACAGTTTACACTGTAACTTTGGACCAGCAAAGTTGAGCACTACTATGGCATTTGGAAGCTGGCCACAGCTTTTTAGAGTTGGCAACATCTGAGCTGGGAGCAGGGCTAGTGGTGATGCACTTTCTTTGGGCATTAATCCCCACTTGGAAATTTCTTAGTCTATAAGAATATTCCAACTGTGCGTCTCTGCTGTGCTTTCGTCTTGTGAAATGCCTTGGTACTCTACCAAGTAGATTCTCCAGAGCACTTTTGCACAGAACTGGCAGGCTTCTCCACTTTTACAACCTGTCTGATGAAGATCTTTACAGAAAAGAAGTTGGATGGTGGTAATTGAGGGTATTTCTATTTTAAGGGACCACTCAAAGTAATGCCTGTTTCTTTTGTGTAAGAATAACTGAACAAATCTATCTGCTATGCCCAAACATCCCTGAAAAGCAAACTTTCAATGTGGACCTCTTTTGCAAAAAAAGATTGAAACGTACATCACTCTTCTACTTCAAATGTGTATTTTCTTTGACTAGACTAATCTTATGGCCCCTAATAAAAGTTCCTTCAACTCTTTTGTAGATCATGCCATGAGGAGCATGAATGAGCTTGGGCCTATTACAGAATTGCTTTGCTAGCTAGTTTGGCAGAATACATTAGTGTGGTGTTTTTTGTTTTTTTTCCACCAACATAAACAGCAGCCTGAAGCCTCACTCATGAATGACAAAAGGAAAGCCTGTATTCTCTTCTGGAAACTTCAGCTAGTGCCCTGTGCTGAAATATAAGGGCGCCAGCCAGCCAGAATAACTCCTCTGATATCAGCCTGCTTTAGATATATGCTGGCCAGATTCACAAAGGTTCCTGGAGCAAGACGAAAACAAAAATTAAAAGGAAATATGAGTTTATTTTGTTGGAGGTGGTTTTTTACATCCCTACTGCCAGTTTTCTCGTATGGATAAAAGCTTATGTGAGTAAATACTCACCTGGGTATCTTTAGGCAGCAGTCCAATGTATTGCTGTGCTTTCAAGGCAAATGATGTTTCAAAGCATGTCCTATAACAAGCTGTACTAGCCTTGACGTTTGTATTCATTATGCTTTGATGAATCGTAGAAGCCAAACCATGCTCACTCTGTTAAAATTGCATTGTTGTTTTCACATACGTTCAATAAGGAGGGGGAAAAAAATGAATGTTGTGCTCTGTTAATAAGTAAGCTTAATCCGTTCAACCAAAACTGTTGTGGATTCAGGCTCATGTTAATCCAAGCATCTATCCACCAAGTGCCTTCCTGGCCCTGAAGATATTTAATGCACAGAATGAGTGGACAGAGACTCATTACGATATTGTCCTGGCAGTGAGAGAAAGGAACTCAAAACCTCTGGAGATGAAGACTGAGTTGAGTTCCACTCTTTAGTGTTTTGCCTGATTACTTACATTTGTCTAAGAATGTACTTCAGGGACATTTCTCTGTACGCAACTAATAAAAATATGTGGAAGGATGATAAAACAGTGGAAATACCAAGTGTTTCACCCTTCCTGCGATTAGGGGTTTTGATAACATTTATCTCGCTATTATCTGTGCACTGGTAAGGTTGAGGAGCCTCTTCTGAGGAGCTTCTGTGTCATGGGAGGTTAAATGTAGGTAACCTGAGCTCTGATGAATTGTGAACCCCTTCAAGGTCAGGCTGGGCATATGTGTTTTGGACCTGAATGCTGAAGCCTTGTAATTGTGCTGAGGCAAGCTAAAGGAGTGTCACAAACTACATCAATGTTATCCTTAATGATGGCATTAAACATTGTGTATTTAGTGCCAATATTGTAATTAGTCATAACTAAAGAGCAACATGCGTTTGGCAGTATAGAAATTGAATGGAGACAACAAAGGTGATCAGAGAGATATAGAGTCACCTTTATCTCAAGAAGCTAAATAGCTTTTTCAGGCCTGGAAAGGTGTTGATGGATAATACTGTTTAGGTATATGGTAGGCTGTGGGGAGCATGAAAAGGAAATGGTTGGCTTCTACTTCAAACAACATGGCTATAGAGGATGATCAAAGGACTTGTTCTTCATTTCAACTTAAATAATGGAACTTCTGCGTGCTTCTAACCTGTGCAGAGGGTTTATGTTGGCAATTTTGTGTTGATACAAAACTGGAAGTGACTGACACACCAGAAGGCTCTGCTCCATCCAGCAAGACCTAGTCAGGCTGGAGAGTTGGGTGGGGAGAAATTTAATGAAATATAACAAAGGCAAATGTAGAGTCTCGCTTCTGGGCAAGAACAACTGCAGGTACCGGTACAGGTTGGGACTGACCTGTTGGAGAGCAGCATAGGAAAAAGGGACCTCGGGGTCCTGGTGCACAGCATGATGACTGCGAGCCAGCACTGTGCCACAAGGATGATTGAGGGAGTGGAACATCTCCCTTATAAGGAAAAGCTGGGGGTGCTGGTCTCTTTATCTTGGAGGAGACTGAGAGGTGACATCATTAATGTTTATTAATATGTAAAGGGTGAGTATTAGAAGGATGGAGCCAGGCTCTTCTCAGTGACATCCAGTGATAGGACAAGGGGCAATGGGTGCATGCTGGAGCATAGGAGTTTCCACATAAATATGAGAAAAAACAATTTTGCAGTAAGGGTAACAGAGCACTGGAACAGGCTGCCCGGAGACCAGGGGTCTCCTTCTCTGGAGAGATTAAAAATCCACCTGGACTCATTCCTGTGTGACCTAATCTATGTGTTCCTGCTTCAGCAGGGGAATTGGACTAAATGATCTTTGGAGATCCCTTCCAGCCCCTGACATTCTGTGATTCTGTGTAATTTCAGGAAGCATTTAGACAAGCTAAGTAAAAGCGTCTCCCAGTAACTATTAACGGCGAGTCTGCTTGCAGATATATGACATGTTTAAGCTTTGACTTGCCTTAAACTTGAGTATGTGTCTGGGGGATGGCCTATTCTAGTCACTCTCTTTCCTAGGCTTTTCTGTTCTGACTTCTGAAAATGTCAAGATGTTGAGTGAGATGGATTCTTAGATCTGTCCCAGTATGATGCTTTGTTTGCTATATGAATGTGGAACAAAATGATCGATCATACTTACAGAGCTTAAAAGCAATAGATAGTAGATGCTTTAGAGTAGATTTCATTGTTTCCAGTGTTCGTTCACCCTTTTCACTCTCGACTTGCTCTCCTGCATTAACAGTGGGCTTTTCTGCAGGGTATCTGTGTTTTGCTAGAGGGTTCTAGTGACTGTCAAAAGTGCAAGATGATTTACCTTGTTATTCTTGTCCCTTTCCTACTAAGCACCACTTTGCATTACTGCATTGATGTATTAAAGGCTAAAAATGAAAAATCTGAGGAAAGGATCCCTGCGTCTCTTCTTAAGAAATGCCATGGATGGAAGTAATTTGCTTCCCTCAGTAAACATAGTAGGCTTTGACTAATAGGCTCTTTCTGTCAGAAACCAGATTTATTTTCTGCATATTGAGACAATACAGATGGTGGTTAACGTGAATCCATGGAACTGGCCTGTTTGATGAACCCCAGCTGGGTGACACTGGTTAATTTAGCCAATTAACCTGTTTTAGGCTAGCTCATGGAGTGGTATGTCCATGCTGAGGAAGACAGTGGTGCATTGCACTGGAGGCTACTGTCCATGTGTTACATGAAAAGTTGGAGAGGAGTGGAGCAATGCCTTTCAGCTATTGTTAGAGAGCAGAAGTTCATTTGCCTGAAATCAGTCAGTCCTCAATAGTGTTTGGATGATTTCAGACTTAAAGTGGCTCCGTATTGTACAGCTAAATGCAGCCATTTTATAGTACTACTTTCTGTTTCCTTTCTATCTGATATGGTGTGCATGTCTCACCAGCTGTCCAGTGTCTATCAGAAAGCATTCTGTGCTGTACTTGCCAGCACTGGTGTCTATGTAGGAAACTGCAGCAGGACAGAAAACTCATCAGACTTTGCGGTCTGTTGAACTCATCTTCCAAAGACTAGGTGCAGGTTTCTGTCTAAAAGGTGTTTTGATTTTTGTATATGATGAGCAGGATTTTTGCCTATTTCTTTTTCAGCTGGTGTGGTCAAAGATACTGGTCAAAGAGGCAGTCAGTCTTTCTTTCCCTTTATTCCTTCTGTTGTTTATTAAATGTCACAATTCCAATCCTAACAGCTGTTCCTGTTGCTAAGCATAGTTGTACTTTCTGGTCTTACTGACAGGTTGGTCTTTGTATCTTCTGCTACAGCCCCTTTGATGCAGAGAACCTGTTCTTGTCTCCTGGAACCACTGCCAAGTTTTCTGTGGGTAGCAGGAAGAGCTCTTTATACAACTGGACCCCTCCAAATACTCCCAGCTTCAGAGAAAAGTACTACCCGGTGAGTATGCAGAGGAAAGCAAAATGCAAAGCATAGATCTGGAATCTACGATTTGAAGATTTGATTAGGCTGTTGAAGATCACACTCAGAAATGTGAAAACATGACATTCCAGAGCCAGAGTGGGTTATTTTTATTTTTACTCCTATTACTTGGAGCTTCATTTTAGATTCTGTAGAAGAAATGAAATCCCTGTGAAATATTTCTCTTGGCAGTCAGAATGGTAGGGATGTGGGCACACGTTCTAATACTCTATGGTGGGAATTGCATTAGGAACCAGTCTCGGTAGCCTTAGTGCAGAACACTGTCTTAGAATTACTGTGTAAAACTAACTGCCTTCTTCCTCGACTTTACTTTTTGCCAGGTGTTGCCCAAGGGAGTAGAAAAAATCTACAGATCTTAAAAAGTGATAACACCATATATACATTCTCATAAAATCAGGTCTAAGTCACTTTTGGCACCTCACTAAGGCAGCAGAATGTGTTGTCAACATTAGAAAGGCTTACATGTAGGGTATGCTGGACTCTTAAAAATGAATCTTTCCTCTAACCATTGCATTCACGTCTTGTCCTGAGCTGATGCAACAAGAAAGATGCTTTGCAACATATTCTTTCCAATCCAGTTTTACTCTTGTCCTGGTAACTTTCATCTGATAACATGTAGTTATTACTTGAGTTACTACAGGCTTCCCATCAAGGTAGTTGATGTCCCATTCCTGTCAGTGTTCAAGGAGTATTTGGACAATGCCCTTAATAATATGTTTCAAATTTTGGTTAGCCCTGAAGTGGTCAGGCAATTGGACTTGATCTTTGTAGTCCCATTCCAACAGAACTGTTCCATTCTTCTTAATTTAATTCATTCAATAGGCTCTTACCACACTGTTATGATGGTTTCCTCTGTCCAGTCTATGCAGCATAGTTCCTCTGTGCAGAATGACCCAGTGTTTTTTTCAATGAGTTTGAGTGCATGTGTTTTTAAGAACAGGAAACTATGGTTTTTCATCCTGGGTGGCATGTCATACTTTTTGGTTGTATGTGTGCTCACTTCTTATACATTTGCTTGCAGTCTGTTTTGCAACAAAGACAGAACCAAGGAGATGTAAGTGGTGAAGCTCAGCCTCCTAGCATATTGAGTTACTTGGCTGCCTGTGATTTTGGTATACATGAGAGGAGTAAACGTCACAGTCCTGCAGAGACAAGTGAAGGAGACTCATTCAGCTCTGAGGATCAGAGAGGGACAGAATCCAGAATTACACTTCCAGCTCTGGACCATAGAACATTGCCATTGGTGATTATTCAAGAGACTTGTGCAGAAGAGCAACATCCTCTTCCAAATCATGCAACTCTAGATATTCTGAAGAAGACTCCATGTGTGGACACATTTTCAAGTAACCCATGTAGTTTTCTGAGTCGTGGAAAAGACGGTAGAAGTTTAAACCAGACCAGAAATCGCCATCTCACAGAACAAGAAAGTACTAGCCAGAAAAGCTTGAATGATGCAAATGATGTAAAACTGGATGGATGTACAAAGTCAATTGACAAGACTCTCCAAGAAGTGTTAAATTTGCTAAAATTCCATAGTGTTGGTCAAGCCCAGCTGGAGAAATTGGAATACCAAGTTTTAACTCTGAGGGATAAATTAAAGGTATGGTAATGTTTTAACACTGGTAGGTGATGTAGTTATCACTGTTATTCCTAAGAGGTAAAAATTTTGCGATCCTCTAGTGGGTTTGACATTGGGTTATATCAATGGCATGTTCCCAAAAATAAGTCTGGCCACCAGAGGTCAGGCACTAGTCAGAAAAGACAGTCTCCAGAGCTGACTGCACAATGGTACTGTGTTGCATCTTTCAGGGATTGTGACCAAATGCTATGCAGAGGTCAATAATCTGTCAAAAGAAATTAAGAAACTGCAAGTAGTCAAAGTGGAAGCTCATCTGGGTTAAACACAAACAGGATCTGGACTGCATGTCAGAGTCCCTGTATTTTGTTTCTAATTGATTTGCCACACAAAATTTCTCATGATCACCTAGTCTTTGTAGGCAGTTCAATCTGTCAAGTGAATCTTTTAACCATATGTTGCTGGAAATTTTTATTTAGAGGAAAGATCCTGCCGAAGAGCTTTCTGCAAGCATTGGGCTATATTGTAAATTTCTTGGCATCTTAGTCTGTGGACCAATGCGCAGACTTGGGAGACAGGATGCTGTAAGACTTCATCTGGGATCTGAAGTATTAAATGACATTAACAGCACTGCACTGACATTCTACTTCAATGCAATCACCTTTGTTATAGTAATTAAAAAAAAAAAAGAACAAAGCAAATATTCCCAGAGCAGATTTTTCAAGGGGGAGGATGTTAGTGGCCCCAAGAAATCCACACTGATGTTAAGTTCTTGGCTACTGTTGTGGTTTAACTTGACAGGTAGCTAAGCACCACACAGACATTCAAAAAAACAACTCTGTCCCAGCTGAAATTAAGACGGATGCTATGCTCTCATGCAGCAGAGCCCTCAGTTTGCTACTTCTAGATCTACACTAATGGCAAGAGATACAGAAAAGTCAGCTCTTGTACCAAACTTAAGAGATGTGGAAATACGAAGAAGAATACAAATGAAGATGTTGAAGCAGGCTGAGAAATTAATCAGCAACTGTATTTTGGGATCAGTGGTGTACCAACAACTAACTCTCCTGATATCGTAGAGTATCATAGAGTATCATAGAATGGCCTGGGTTGAAATGTTAAGAATTAAAAAAGAAGGAAATTGGTTTGTTATTAAGAGCAATTTGAAAAATCAATCAAGAAATCGTGTAAAATGATTTAATATCTGTAAACAACAATATTTTTCCCTTTATTCTACAAAAGCTAAGGACACTTCATCACAAACATTCATCTGTGGAAAGTTTAATGGTGGAGACGGTGCTGGAAAGTTTTAACTTTTTAAATGCTGACTGCAGTGCTGATGAGGTTTCGTTATTTGGAAGCGTAAGAACAGCCAGTATCAGGTAGGTGTCTGCAGCATTTTGTTGTAGGTGGCAAGCTAAAGGGGAAAGCAAAGCTGATTCCCTGAACACTTACTGATAGACTATGTTTGGCTAAGTACAGATTGTATAGAGGTGTGAACATCTAAGATAGAAACAATTTATTTTTTTAATATTCTGAGATTCATAATTCAGAATGCCAGACTGAAACAGCAGGAAGCTTGAACTGAACATATGAAAAACATTGGAGAATGACACCTTTGGGATGTGATGGAATGCCTAATATGCAAGAATACTACAAGCAAGATTGTCTGGATAACCTTGAGCAGTTCTGCACTAGTGAGGGAGAGAACTATGTATGTTTTACAGAGCTCTTCTACCTGTTTTTTTGAATGTTCTTTTTGTATTCTCCAAGTTATGTGCACTGGAACTTGTGTTCCAGAGCTGTGACCTGGTCCTGGAAGAGCTGTTACACTCCCAGTGTCATCAAACTGGGAGTAAACCAGCAGGTTTTGACCCAAATGACCCATTATCTCAAGTCGCGCTTTCTTGGAAGCATTTTTCTATTATTGATTCTCCAAAATAGAATTTTTTGGGAGCAGCTGACCTGATATTACTGTTGTGCAATTTATTTCTAGTTCTAGAAATAGCCCTCATGTTTTCTAAGAAGTATTATCAATGCAATAAAAAATGCTTTTGTGTCTTAAATGCCACCTGGTTTATGTTTCTGCAACTTATTTGAACTTGCAAAAATGAGGGTTGCACTCTAGTGAGAATGCATATCTTCATCCTTATTTGGTAATATGAGGTCATGTTTTAATTCCTTCTTTCCTCTTCAAAACAGCACATACAATGACAACATGTTTCAGTCCTTGAGTTGTGATATGAAAACAGAAACAAGAGATGTAACTACTGGTGATGACAACTTAGATGTACTTTTAATAACTCATCTGAAGCTGTGCAAAGCTCTTTTACAGGTAAGAAATAGCTGATGGGATTCAGAGGCTGTCATGTAGCTGTTGATTTTTGAGTACAGATAAAAATGAATGTGTAGCTGCTTCTTTTTTGAAAGCAGAAAGATTCAGAATAGCATTTGAGTTCCAGCAGTGCAGCACTGTATACATGCATGTGCACAGAAGATGTCATGCAAATGTCATCCAACTGCTGTCTTTTTACAGCCTCTTGGTTTCCTTGAACTTCTGGTAGCCAAAGCAGGCTGCAGGAGGCTGGTTTGGGTTGAATTTTGTGTCGATAACAGGTGAACAGTTTTGGTATTTTTTTTCTTTGTGAATGGAAAAAACCCTACATCTAGGAAGAAACTGGTGGCCCTCGGGGAAAAAAGAGTATTTCTCTCTCTGAGATCTTGTCCATCAACTAATTCAGTTACAGTGCTCAAAGCAAATGTTGTGCTCTGCTTTGCATGGCCTGCAGAGTACAGTGTAACTTTTAGTATTGATCTGCTTCATGGTTTTCAGTGGATGAAGCAGACATGAATCTCAAATGCTGGACAGTCTTTTCCAGTAGGATATCACTTATCCTGTTCTACTCAGCAGCTTTGTGCTCAGAAACGAGGCCATGGTGTGATGAGAGAAGTGGTCTTTGGAGAGAATCTGGTGTTTTCTTACAAACTTTAGATATGTGCTCCTATGAAACAAATACTTATTCATCTTGAGCTTGATGCTGCCTTTGTTTCAGCTACTGAGATGAGCATGTTGCATTTCAGAAACTGAGGTCACCAAATGTAGCCCAGATTGTCCAAGAGAATGTTTTGGAAGAAGTGTCAGAGCAGTTGCAAGTCCTGGGGGATGTCTTGGATATGTCTGTTGAAGAAAGTGAGTAAATGCCTATTGCCAGGGGATATGAGAGGTACAGGGAGAACTTGAGCTTTCCCAGACACATCAGGATTTCATTTTAAATTGTTTACAAATATTCACATAATTTAAAAAGCTCTTACAGATGATTTCTGGGTGGTTTTCTTTCTTTCTTTCTTTCTTTCTTTCTTTCTTTCTTTCTTTCTTTCTTTCTTTCTTTCTTTCTTTCTTTCTCTTTTTTTTTTTGAGAAAACAAAGGTCATGATTTGTTTTCCTTTTGTAAGGAAATAAAAAATTGAAGTCTGGCTCATGAAATAGCTGAATGGTGTGGTGTGTCTTAGAAATAGGGGTGTGTTACAGACAATGGAATTTGCAAAGAACAGCAAAATAGCATTAATAAAATCTTTTAAATTTATTATTTTACTTAGCTTACTAAGCTGTTTCGCTTTTGTGTGCATTACAAAGAGTAGTTTGGTGTACAGTGATCCTGCCCTACTATTTCCATTAACTGCTGGAGAAAACAAAACAGTAAGAGCACAGTGGGAGACTTTGAAGGCTTTTGTTCTCATCTTTATAATGTGCAGCGAAAAAAATGCAGATTTTAGCTGGAAGTATTTGCTGACACATCTTATCTGAAGGATGTGAAAATAGAGGGATCCTCAGAGCAAGGCTCAGAAGAGCCTGTAGCACAACACAGTGAAAGTGCAGGAGGCCTAAATGCAGAACAGAAGTTCAACCTCTCCCTGTGTAGAAGAGATGATAGGGGTTAAGTGATACCAAGAAACTGCAGGATATTGCTTTTATAAAGTGTTTGATGGAAGAAAGTCTCCTTCAGCCTATATATGGAGGTTCAATATTTTCCTCACGTGAAGGTACATAACAAAGAACCTCTAAAATGCTGGGAAGTTCTGCCTCTAGCTGGTAGAAGTGAAAACAGTTAAACTCGCAGAAAATTCTTTTGCAATGTGACTCTGATGATAGGGAAAAATGAATGATGATCCAAAGGGCAGCAGAGCTTTGCTAAGGCATCTCATTCAGGTCTCCTTGTGACAGTTTGAGGCCACAATCCAAGCTTGCTGAAATGGGTGCTTGCAGACATTAAAATACAGACAGCAAACCTCCAGCTTTGAACAAAGCCATTTATATAATGCAAATTCAATTTATGTGAACACGTATCTAGATATGCCACCTGGTGCTTAATTTCTCAAGTAGAATTCAAAATCTGCTAAATCTCACTAACTTCCTAAAATATGATTTTTCAGTTATTCAGAAGACTAAGAAGAAGAAGCAGTATCTGAAAATCTGGAGTGATGTTGCAGAACCTGGCAGTATCTTCTTTGCTTCAGCAGAAAGATTCCGTCACGTACTGAAGTACACGTTGGCGCTCAAAGTGAAGGAAAAGTACCCTGGCCAATTAGAAGCAGGTACCACTCTGCTCCTTGAACCAAAGGCTGCTTCAGTTGAATCTTATCGCAAGAGTGAAAATTATCCTTACACATTTAAAGAACATCTTGCTTTGGCTGCTCTGCAACATTTCCTTTATTCATTTCTTCTTTTCTGTTACTTTCAGTTTTGCGAAGATTGCTAGAGCAGATCGTCACTTGTGATGGCTTGCTGCCTTCTCCATATCTCCAAACAGAACCAGTTACTTTATTCCAATTTTATAGCTACCTGGAGAAACACCAGATTACCAGCCTGGAAAAACATGTAGGAAGACTTGCTAAAGAAGGTAATGACAGCACTAGGCATAGGTTACTGGTGCAGATCAACTTCCAGAGCAGAGAACAGTCCAGCATTGCACTGCCAATTTGTCTTAATTCCTCTTATGACCACGCAATTTTAACACAAATAGGACAGAGATGCTTGACTCTCACATCTGACCAGGTAGAAACAAAACAGGTGTGAAAGAAAAGTTCATCATAAGTGTCCAAAAAAAAAAAAGGGGGGGGGAGGGGTTCTGAGATATACTGAAATTTAAACAAAACTGGTTCAGCAATAATCTACATCTAGATTAAAGGACTGGATAACTGCCTGTAGCTTTGTGTGACTGTATCCGCAGCGATGACACAGATAATAGCAATAACATTTCAGAGGTTACTAACACGAGTTCTCAGCGGCAGCCAGTGTCTTGCTGAACTTAGCCAGCATGAAGGCACTTTAAGCTTTGTCTGTGTTAGAAAATTATTTTCAAAATGATCCTGATATTGGCTGCGTCTTTAGTCTTATTTTGGTGGAAATTATTTATCTGTGAGGAGGCTGAGGACTTGTGCATCACTGGTGAAAAAGATCTGTAATATTCTTCAAATTGCCAATCTAGTGTCTCATTTCTTTTTTCTGAAGAGAGGCATGTTTTTCTCAACTGACACAGCTGGCTCTTTCTGAGCTGTTTAAAAGAGGTATTGTGCTTGATTGTCTCGCCCTTATTTTAGGAATATTCTGGTAGTTGTAATGTCCAAAGGTGCAGAGATATCTTGCACTGTATGTTGTTCTCCATGCACCTGGGTCTGTTAAGGAGCAGGGCTTTGTTTCACCTGTGAACTAGAGCTGTGAAATAGTAGTCACTGCTCTATTAAACAGTGAAAGGGAAAGAAGGCACTTCTTTGGATTGCCAAAGGGTTAGTCATCCTGATTTGCTCCCTGCCATACTTAGCATGCTTATAACCTTTGGAACAACTTCAGGTGACTGAAGGAGGCAGAGTTAGAGAGGAGTTAATCTTGTTGTGGAAATGTCTTCCTTTGCCATGTTGTGATGTTAAGTCCTTTCACATGCAGTGATGCTAATTGAGGAACTACAGTGCCCTGGACGGCTGAAGACCCTTAAAAAATTGAAAGGGAAGCGTCTGAATCGGCTCCAGCCTCTACCGCAGACTTTGCGGCTACTTGGGATTTTACAGCTTGATGACAACCACCGCGTCAGCAAAGCAGCCACATCCTGCCTCTCCCGTGCAGCAGCAAACAAGAACTTTAGGGAAAAGGTGAAAACTTACTTCATCTCAGCTTTTCTAATTAGGTGCTGAAATGCATGCTATTTGTTTTGTCTTAAAATAGTACTGTTACCCTCTGTGCACTTCATTAATCTATTACCTTGAACTGAAAACAAGTCAGTGCTCAGGTGATTTTGTCTGTAACCTTTATTCAATTTCACATAGATAAACAAAGTTAGTGTTGGTCTGAATTTGAGTGCTTGCCTATACTGAGAGGTATAAAACTTTTGTTTTTTTATCTTTCAGGCTCTCCTTTTTTACACTGATGTTTTAGTTGGCTGTGATACAAGACTTCAGCAAGCTGCGTGTTTGGCCCTTAAAAATCTCAGAGTAAGTATTTATAGCTCTACTTGTTTCTTGCTGTGTCTGGCAAATTGCTTTTAAATCTGGTAGGGATACTTTTTCATCTTCCTTTTATCTGGAATTAATGAATTCTTTGCCTTCCAGAGTTCCAAAATATTACTGCTGTTATTAAAAAGCAGCAGGTAGAAGGGGTGTGTCAGTTTAATCTGACAGGCATGGCAAAATGGTAGAAGGGGTGCTTTCTAGTTTCTCCAGCATTACCACAGCAGATAGTGCCTGACTGAGGACATCTGGTGTGAAGGAGAATGAGCAGTGGAGTCGCCTATGTGCGGAGTCAGTTCTTACTCTTTAACTGTAGAAGTTAAATCAGTTGATCTTATTTTAATAACTGCTGATAATAGTCAGAAAATAAAAATAGTATTTGTATTGCTATTAGATATGTTTCTGAATAGATTTAAATCTACCGAGCAGCCACAAGTCTGTAATAAGTTTGCACTCAAAGGATTATTGATAGTACAAACATAGCCATAAAATAGGCCCGAAAAGCAAGTCTTACTCTCAAAGTCAGATCTGCTAAGCAAGTGTTGCCATGGCACAGTTTTTCAGTGAAGGTCCCAACTGTTTTATGCTAACTTAACAGTACTGAAGCAGTGAACTGGGGACCAAAGTTTTAACACTTTTTTAATGCCTTAAAACAGGAGAGAAAGGATGAAACAGAAGTGATATCATGCTCAGAAAAAATAAGTGCAAGCTGATACCTTAGGGGAGTAAAGAAAGATCACAGTCAGACACAAGAAGAAATGGGAGTTAGTTTGCACGTCTTTACTTTGAAAAAGTGTTCATCAAAATGTTTGCTGATAGGCTACCATTGCACTTCTCTCAAATAGGGCATAGAGAGTATTGAGCAGGTTGCCCACCTGTGCCAATCTGAAACAGAGGATGTAAGGAATGCAGCCAGGGAAACAACGCTGTCCTTTGGTAAGTCTTCATGCAGATTCCAAAAAGTAGTGTGAAATGGTGCAAAACCAGAACAGGTCTGAAGCTCTGCTTGTGGTGTACAGCCTGAACACAGAATCACAGAATTGTAGGGGTTGGAAGGGACCTCCAGAGATCATCGAGTCCAACCCCCCAACACATCCTAGACAATGGAAGTGTTTCATGAGTGGCTATTTCATACCATTAAGGGGCCACATACAGTAACCATCTTTGTGCCACACATAACAACCAAAGGCTTCTATTATTCTTTGTAAAACCAGATCAAGATTATTGTAGGATAAGGTGCTTTAAGGACCACTAAATTTTTTGAAGGGTGGCAGATAAGCACTTAAGTTGCTGACAGTGCTGCTGGAGTACTTACTAATGGTAGTACTGGCATCAGCAATTTTCCCCTTCTAGCTTTTGTAAAAATGCTATTTGGACCCAAGGGATTAAAATTACACTGGTTCCAGCTCTGTGACATTAGCTAAACTGAAGATCTTTTATGTATCACAACAGCAACAGAATATTTCGGCCTGTTGATCACCTTTAGCCACCTGCAAATGGACTGACTCCTTGTATTTTTCTTATTCCTGTTCTACAAACTGCTCTATTCTGAATACCAAAGGGTTATTAAGTATAGACAGAATTGTTTTGTATGTGTTACTTCACCTGAATGCAGTGAACATACCATGGAGTTGATACCATACCATGGAGCTAATCAAATCTTGATGTTCTTTGCTACTGGCTGGTATTTGTACTGCTACTGAAGGCAAAGGAGAGTTATCTAGGATAAGTATCTGAAAGGCTTAGTTCCCAGGGAGGATGCAGTTATCTGGGAGATGGTGGTAATTTCCCTGCTCTGTTCTTCCTGAAAATACTTAAGAGTCATGCTCAGTTCTGGGAATCTCCAGACTGACTTCACAGAAATACTAAGAGTCACATGCATTACAAAACACATTTTCCAATTGTGATGTCCATGTTGTTAATCATGTGGAAATGTTTACAGAGAGCCTGATTAATTTTTAAATTTAGTTTTCCCATGGTGACTCGTAGCAGGGCTTTGAGCACCACTGCTTTAGAGAGATCTGTCACTACTGAGAGTTCTTATTAGCTCTCTCACAACAGAAGTATTTCTCACCATTGCTTTTCTCAGGTTGTTTCTGACAGCTTTGTTTTCCTCAGTATGAGATGTATTTTCTTTCTTCATAGGTGAAAAGGGACGACAAGCCTTTGAGAAAATGGACAGGATTTGCTGTGAATTAAGGGATGCTGTGCAGCAGGAGGCTGAAATTGAGATCACAGTATTCTAGTAGTGGAGTATAAGGAGCTAAGTCATACTGTCCTCACAGCCACTTATGGGTACCCGGGGGAATAGTTTTATTGTTTATCAGCATCTTTACTTACACTCTGCTATGTACATGGTGCCTACCGACACTAGTGTTGTTTCCAAAGTGGACACAGTTTGCAATCTAAATCAAATAGACTGGAATCTACTTTTTTTTTTTTCTTTTCACTTTCAGTATTGATAATCTGAAATGCTGAAGAGAAAAACAAACTGGGGTTTGTAAGAATGTCAAATCAGTCTGCAGTGTGAGTGAAGCCTACATCACAGAACTGGCTGCCCCCGCACAAACTCAGTTGTGTACCATCTGTTCTGTTTGCATTTCTGTAAGGAATGAAACGATGGTGTTCCAATAGTCCATCTAGAACCTTGCTGACAGCCAGTTGTTTACATCAGCTGCCATGTGAATTAGAAAATCTAGCAGCATTGCTTGGTTTCTTTTTTTTTTAATAGAATTTTGTTGCAGAAGGAACAATGGCTTGTTGTTTCAAAAGCTGTTTTTTTTTCTTTTTTTTTTCTTTTTTTTGGAAAGCAGTGCATCATAGGACAGGCTTGAGCAAGGATTGGCAAGGACAAATAGTGTATATCCTCTGCAGTTTACAAGGGGAAGTTATTTATCATATTAGCAATGTACAAATCAGTTTGTCATATCAACAGAGCTGTGTAAGCTTTTTAGGAAAAAAAGCATTTTATTCCTTTAGTCATAGGTCAAGATTTGTATAATCACATGCCCACTGCCAGGCTCCTTACTCTCCGCTTAGTGTAGGAGAGGGTGGTAACCATGACGTGAAGTCTGGCTTCAGGTAAAATACTTGAAAAGGCCTTTGTGTATATATTTATATATAATACTTTTTCTATTCAGTATTTATTTGTTGGATTTCATACTTTCTGGACTTCAAATAAAACTTTTGAGACAAATCTTGCACTCCTTCACATGGTGTATGGGCAGAATGATGGGGAGAGGTGCATCTGAACCGCAGTTAAGGTTCTGCATACCAAGTCAGGAAGTGTGTCCAGTACCCAGGCCATTCACTTTGTCCCTATCTGCTCTGCCAGCTTCAGGCTCGTACAGTCCAAGCAGGCCGGGCTGCTGTGCTGTCATTATTGCCCTTGGAATGTGCAGCATCCTGAAACCCCGCAGCTCTTCAGTCCTGAGCTCTGAACTGCGGTGCTCAGGTCATGCTGTTGCATAGCAAGCTTCAACCACACTTAGAGGCGGTCGCTCATAGATTTTGTAACTCTCCTTTTAATGTATGTAACTCCGCTTTTCATTTATAGATTTATTTCCAAGCACGGGACAGGCGTTCCCTGCCTCGCTAAGTTCCCTGCAGCCCCGGCAGCTGCCGCCCACTCTTCTCTTCCCCTTGGCTGGAAGGGGCGGTGAGAGGGGCGGGCGGGGAGCTGCGGGCGGGCTCTGAGTGCAGCGCAGCCTCAGCTGCTTCAGCGCCGCTTTGTGGAACTACTGAAAATTCTCTTTTCGCTCACTTCTCCATTTGTAGCCTTCTTAAAAATCTAAACAAAAAGGTAATTACGTTAATTCAAACAGCATGGAAGTGCTGCGATCCTGTAGTCCTTCCCTGGCTAAAGCGCAACAGAAACTCTTGCACAAACTTGTAACGGACTCACTGTGTTGTATGTATTACACCAATTACTGATCCAGCATGCTTCAGGGTCGGAGGCGAGGATAAACGTGGCAGGGAGAGGCGCAGAACGGAACGGGGCACTCCTCTTCCTGGAGCTCTGACCTATAAGTGAGCTCTGACAGTAACACTTCAACCCTTTCCAGGAAGAGAAATAAACAGTGTTCAGTGCAGATTTGCAAGTAATTCAAAGCAGGCACTGGCAGCTCTGAGGAAACACACAGTGATGGGACTCAGGTACGTTCTTTAAAAAAAGAATTTTATTGTTACAACTAAAATGGCAACTGAAAACTTGTATGGGAAATTGAGAAAACTGTACAATTTTACTATAACTTCTGAGGTCTTTGCAGTGACTTACACAAAAGACAAAATACCTGAAAATGTGTTATACCAAAACATTTAACTTTTTTGGTTTTTATTTTTTTAAAAAAGTTTATTCTATGGTGATCTGTAAAAAAAGAAAGACCTGATGCGTAAATATTTGCTTAAGGCAGATAGCAGAGCAGCTCACTAACTTTCTAACAAGTTTAACATGGATATTTGTCCATTTTCCAAGAACAGGTTAACCAATACACCCACTTTGAAATGCTACTGTATATACACACCGAAACTACTACGTACACATACAGGACACCAAAACAAAAATGTTTACAGTTCAGTATTATAAGCCCTATCCACACCTCACTGGGACAGCATAAGTTCTCCTGAATTTGGAACGGGTGACAGAAACAAGAAAAATACACAGGCAGAAAAGAGGGTGTTAGAACTTCCTCTGCAGGAACTTTCTCATACTGCTGTAATTTGTAAGCATGGTGCAACTGAATTATGCTGGATTCAAAGGGAGGATGCTTTACTTCCCTCTCCAGGCTAAAGTTCTAAACATCCCTTCTTGGGAACAGTACAGTTTGTTTTGTTTGGCTTTTTTTTTTTTGAGGAGAATCACATCACTTAAGAACCTGTGTCTTTGCAGACCAAAGCAACTATGGCAGTCTTGCAAAAAAAGGTTCTTCTTTGTCCTCCAGTGCAGCTCTGAAGGCAGCACAGCAAGTCACCCCGAAGTCACCAACTCCTGCTTGCCACCCATAAGCAGATGTGAGGTGTGAATACAGCTTACTACGCACTCTGGAATGTCTGTACTATACTCACTCAGCTGAAATGAACCATGCTAACAACCAGGTTACGCTGAATACGCAGAAATTTAATAGGAAGTCATGCCAAGTATCAGGCGAGTACATGTTATCTGATAAACACCAAGTCCATCTATCGCTGAACGAAGATGCTTTCAGCAGCACCCTTTGAACCACAGCCACTTAATGATCAGTTCATGCAAATATAATTTGGGCACATCAGTAAGCAGAAATAGAACTTCTTTGACCTTTCAAGCACATGGTATTTAATCAGGACACTAGAAGACTTTACATGCATTCTAATACAAATGATGTATAAATGTTGCTGTAGAACAACGTTCTACCAGACGATGGAGAGAACAGTGGAGAGAAAGCAATCGCACACTGTATCTTAAATACACAGATGAGCCGTTACATATTACCATTTTTCTATACTCATTTTTCACGATTCCAGTAATACCACTAGATATTGACTGGTTACAGCATTCCTCCTTTCCAGTACTGGAAAGTACAGACTGTTGGTCTGACCAGCAGTCTCACAGGTGAAGTATCCATTCCCAGTACTACCTGAGGATTTAGTATTGTACTTGTGAAAAGCCCTTGATGCAAGCTTAACAAAAGACAGAAAAGAAACAGCTCCCCTTCTCCCCACTTCACCTCCTTATTCACTGAAGGAAAAGAGCTGCACCTACGGACAGCTTTGCAAAAATAAAACGTGGAGCGGAAAGAGACTTTAAGATACTCTATAGTGATGTTTGCACTGAGAATGGTGGTTAAGTGCCATAAAGCATTTAAAAACAAAAGAACTGATTAGCAACGTTGTTGCACATCAGCCAACATGGTTTAGTTTCATTCACCACACCTTTTAGCAGTGAATTTAACTCTTCTGTTCCATGACATCAGCAAATAATTCTTTCCTATTATTCTTTAAGTTGTAATAATTTGGTACTAATGTGAGGAGCAGCATTGACTAAAAGTGCTGCTCAGTGCAATGCAAGCTTCCAGTCACAATTCTACCAATGCACCCAAATCCTTATTTGCAAGCACTCAGATTATTCAAGTGCTGGGCTCCAGCTGAGCAAACCCCTGACACAGCACGGCACAGAACAAAACCACCCATCTCTTAGCTTACTGAGGACAGCAACATCCATGTCTGCAGAGGTGCCAGGCTTATCCACACACACCTCTGTCCTACAGTCACCCAACAGCTTATCTTCAGGCCAAACTACACCAGTATTTTAAATCTTTGCTTTAAAATAAGCAAAACACACAAATGCTTGCATCAACAGCCAGCTGATACATTCTGAGACCAACATGTCTTCTGTTGAACTTTCTATGTCTTAAGGAAGCTGCCACAGGATTGAGGCTCTGGTTTTCCTGACGTGCTTTCCTGCTTTTACCTGCAGTGTCTCTGAGTACACGACCTCCTGGCCGTGGCACAAAGCACTGTTACGCAGATATAGACTGAAACTGCATTTCAAATGACGAGGTTTATGAACTGGTCCTTCTGAATGCCAACTGAACAGCTTCAAAATGCTGGTGGACATGTTTTGGTTGAATTTTCTTTCCTGTTTCTTTCCCTCCCCTCAATTTTTCCTAACCCAGAATACAAATGTAAAAACAGCTTTACAAAGGATGGTGCAATGTAAATAGGTATATGTGCAAGTAGAGCGCAACAAAAGTCAATGAGAAGATACATTTCTTTAAAAAAAAAAAAGAAAAGAAAAAGAAAAAAAGAGCTGGACATGTTGGCATACCCTGAGCAAATGCAGAAGCCTGTTTCTATAAACAACGTAAAACAATAAGCTCTTTCAGAAAAGTTTTGCCAAGATTAAATACATCAATACCACAGGCACTGCCCACAACTCACTCAGTCTTTAACAGATGAAGCAAGTAAAAAATAAAATCAAACCAAACAAAAAACCCACCCAATCATAGCTGCCCCCTACCCCTTCCAAAAGGTTTACATTCTTCATGTATGTGGGTTTATTTTTCTTTTTTTTGGGGGGGAACTCAATGATGTAAGTGATGCATTTGGTAACAACACTTGGAGAGTACAAGCAAGTTTCGCTTGTGCCTAGCTTTTCTGAAACACAAAAGAAAAAGAACTGGCTTTTTAAAAAAGGCTAAAAACAACAATGTGTTGTAATTCTATTATTTAGTTTAAAAAAAAAAAAAGGAAAAAAAAAGAAAAACAGACTATTTGGCATTTTCTCTGCTTACTCCTGAATATTTTAAGGCCCTGAGATTAGAATATCATGTTCTTGGGACCACAGGGCTAGATAAAACCCTAGTGCATCAATTCTCTCTTTAAGCCCTAACCAAAGTTCTGGCCTTTCAACTTAAGATCTATCTCTGCTGAGATAAGGCTCACGTGCCTCAAGAAGCTTTCTTGTACAGAAGCTTATTACAAACCGATCAAATCGTTGGTGTTTTCTGCAGGGTCAGTTGTGCTGGCATGTCCATCAATGAAAACATACCCTGTAACAGAGATAAGCTCCTGCTGTGAGGAAAGTGAACATGCATATATTCACTAGAAATGGCTTCCAAGTTGTCATCATGTTCTCATCATCCTCTTCGATGCTTTCTGACTTCATTGACTCTTCTTTGTGGGTCGAGACTTGCAGGTTTTCACCAACAGTTCTCCTCCGAATTTCAGTGTCTTGACTAGTGCTTAAGGACAAATAAATAAGTGTTCAATACTGGATTTTCCCTTTAAAGAATGAGCTGACCTAGCCTTAACCACCTCTTACTTGCACTGCTCATCCTAAATCTGCTGCCTCTGCAGGCACTGAGACAAGAAAGGGCCACCCTACATCCAGCTGAGGAGAACATGAAGGTTCTGAAATCATGCAGCTGCTCAGAGTCAGAAAGTGATGAAATTATGGTTTGTTTGTGTTTCTGTAAGAGCAGCAAGGAGCACTGTGATGGAACTGAAGACTTCTCCATCTTTAATACTTTTAATGCTTTTTTTTCCTAGATAAAGAACCTCCATCATGTTGACAGTATACTGACACCCAGAGAGGCTTCTTAACTGGAACTTTTAGATCTACTGTACAGCTTCTTCCATCTGAATTTAGAAAGCAGAACATCACCAAGCTGGGAGAACAAATAGAGTGGTAACCAGCTGGGAGCTGCATAGCACAGGGATTTCCTATACATCTTCTGGCAGCTGAAGTATAAAACTCAGCAGCCTGTCATTTTAGGCAACAGACTACTTGGGCAGGAAAGAAGCCCATGCTTAAGGCTTCTGCCTCTTCTTTGCTCACCTCTGCCAGCTTGTCCATGTCCACTGCTCCACTTATTCCAGCCTCTTTCTGTCTCATCTTTTCATATCAACCTGCCCACCCCCTTCCTGTCTAGCATGTTTTTCTTGCATCACTTCTGGACTCACTGTCCTAGAAATGAGGACAATAGCAGCGATCAAAAGGAAGCCTCATCTTGCAGCTACAGTACTGCTATGGAATTAAGGAGCTCAGGATTCAAATCCCAGCCTTTTCTAATGTCAAATACTGCATAAGATCGGATTTCACTTTAGTAAGGTAACAAGCAGATATCTAGTCCAAACCAGCCTCATAATTAACAAGGAAGACAAGCAGTTCCAGAGGATGACTCAGCCCCAGCCTCAGACTGGTGCCTGTAATAAAATTAACATATGTCTCTGAGCTGGACATGCCTTATATTCATTTAGACTAAACTGTGTAAAGAATTTCCAGGAAATCATTTATCCACTGATAATTTCAGATCTATATAGCTAATGACATAAAGATACAAGCTTTCAATCCATATTCCTCATTAGGCACAGAAAGCATTAGCTGTTATCTCACATCCCAGGCAAATACTCTGGTAACAACTAAACTGTCACTGATGGAAGAAAGGAGGAAGGTGCTGCTATTGTAACACTTCTCTCCTTTGTAACCTTCATGGAATTAGAGAATCACAGAATACCTTGGGTTGGAAGAGACACCAAGGATCATCAAGTTCCAATCCCCCTGCCACAGGTTGGGCCACCACCCTCCAGATCTGGTAGTAGCCCAGGTTGCCCAGAGCCTTATCCAGCCTGGCCTTGAACACCTCCAGGGATGGAGCATCCTGCCTGTCTGGGCAGCTGTGACAGCACCTCACCACTCTCTCTGTAAATAATTTCCCCTGACATCCAATCTAAACCTACCCTCCTTAAACTTAAAACCCCTCCCCTTGTCCTATTTCTACCTACCCAAGTAAAAAGTTAATTCCTCTCCTTTTTATAATCCCTCTTAAATACTGGAAGGCTGCATTGAGGTCTCCTCCAGGCTCAGCAAGCCCATCTTTGTTTCTCCCTATTCCTACTTCAAAGATTTTCTTTCTTTTTAGTAAAGGCCTTTGGAATTTGAGTATTTCACTTCTCAAATCTCCCCCACCGAATTAAAAAACAAAACTCCAATTTAAACATTGTTTCCATTAAGCAGGCAAAGAACAGTTGCATTTTTATCTCCTGCAGAATTTGGAGAGCTATCAGGTTCAGCTCATGTTCGCAGCCTCTGTGCGCTCTGTGAAATTAAGAGGAGGTTTATTTTGAAGGAAGACTGCTGGGAACGTATACTACCAATCTCCTGTTTGCAGAGTCATTCACTCCCTTGCTGGTCTGATTAAATAAAATACATCAAGTCTGCCAGCTGCATCTGTTGAAAAAACTTTATGGTGCTGCAGAAAATACTAAAACTTGATATTTTTATTCCAATTATTCCCAGATGTGAAGCTGAATATGTCTTTTTAGAAGACCAGCTAGTGGGGGAAAATCAAACTTTTCATTAATCATCTCTGGTGGTTCTTTGAAAATTACTTTTAAAAGTTTATTTTCTGTTGGCTGTTCTGAATAAATTAGTTTACAGTTAGGCTTGACTTCATCTAGCTCCACACCACTCAGATAAGGCAGGAGGGACATCTAGTGGCTAGCAGGTAGCAACCTGGGCTTCTCCACTGTCAGACCTCACTTCACACAGCACTTCCACATATTTGTCACACCTGACAATTAAGGTTACAATGACAGGTAGAAAAGTTCTCTGTTCATGAGCCCCTTCTACTCCTTTCATCAAAAGCAGACAAAGAATTAATTTCACATTTCTAAGTACAGCTAAAGCTGGTCAGCCTAGCTCTCAGCTCCATGGCTAATTCCACCTCCAGTGAAAGAGCTCCTGTGTAACTTACTGTAATGTACACATCACATGCAAATAGAGACCAAGCCACCTCATTCTGCTTCTCTCACTACAGTAGAATCTCATTTTAAAAAATGCTGAAGAACTTTATGGAAAAGTACACACAGATTTTGTTTTGGAACTGCTATTATACTAATTCTGTCAACATCTGTTCAGGATTTTCCATATGAAATGCCACTTATGAACAAGCTTAGGACAAGCTGAAGTGGGAAACTAAATGAATTACCTGTCTGTGATCAGTGGCACAGATGAAAAAACTCTGCCACCCGGAACCATCTCTTCAGCAGTGCTGACTGAGCATCTAATCTCTTCCTCTACCACTTGATGCTTAGGAAAGAATTCTGCATGTTCGTGCATCCTTCCATTGTGCATTTCTGAGGTTCTCTTTGGTGGTCTGGGAGGAGGTGGGGTATGTTCAGGTGGTGGGTCCAGATCTTCATTGGAGAGCTCTTTCCACTGTTCCTTCAGGGAAGGAAATGCCCTGTTATGTTTTCCATTGTTTATTTTATGTAAACTACTGTAACTTTAACTTGGCAGGGGCTTTACACTCTACCTTCTCATTTATTTTTAGCATGCCTGTTCATTTGCATTGAAAAAAAAAAAGGGGGGGGAAAAAAGACACAAAAATAATACTGAATATAAGCTATCTGCAGTACACCAAAGACATCAGTTATAAAAGGAAGAAATTTTAATCTACGTCTGGAAATTTGAAATAGCATGAAATAGAACCAATGTTGCTAGTTCTGCTGTAAGAATTCATTGCAATACTTAAATTTCTATCATATGAGGAAGCTGATGAAAGACATGGCAGATGCAGCCAATCTACACCTCAGTTAAGGTGCTGAAAAGTACACAGGCACCACCTATTACTCTACAGGGCTACAGGAAGTATTCTGAAGTCAGTAGTAAAATGTTGTATTCAAGTACTGCATAATATAAGAATTTATTGAAGTCAAAGTAATTCAAGGCTCCTTTCTGTTCTGTTGACCCCACTTATATGCTACAATTAAAAAAAGTGTTGCAGCTTACTATACATCTGGTTCTGCAGTCAATAATACTCACTTGCACTGAAGCATCCCCCATAATGAATTTTGCCCCCTCAATAACAGCTAAGTAGGAGAAACGAAGCTGATCCGCTGTCTGTATAAGTCCCATTCTGTACTTCCTCATTTCTAGGAGAACCTGTTTAACATCCACAGAAGAAGGATCTTTCCGTTTGTCCATCTGAAGATAAAAATTTGAAACATACTTTACGCTCTGATGAGATTCAATATGATGACTGGCTTTATAAAAAGGCTTTCAGACCATCCTACATATTGAAGTATTAATACAGTAAGAAAAACCACAGAAATGGAAAACTGCACTAGGTTTCTATAATCCTGTATGTTTTCCCCTTTTTTGGTCTTTCTTGTTTTGCAGATGTAATAAGTAAAATAGTTTAAGAAATAGATACTCTGACCTAGGCCTGACTTCTGTGTATTAGTTGATCTCACAAATTGGCTGAATAAAACCAAAATTTTCCCCTGCCTAAACGGTAAAGTTGACTCTGTAAAAGAAAACATGTAGGTGCATTTTACACTGTTTAAGGATTGCTGACACCTTATTTAGCAAACACCTAATGTTTTTCTTAACCACATGGATAAAGCCTATCCTCGCAAATCACCCTAAAAACTAGAGTTTTCTTCTCTAGACTCAAATGTCCAGTTAAGAATGAGATCTACCTTAGTTTTAAAATGGAAGACAGTCTCAAACCAGAATACGAGTAAGATAAGAGAAATAACATGTGAGAATGCTCCACAGAAAATACCGCAGCTCTCTGTAAGCCAGAAAAACCACTCTTCAAGGGAGCTCTACTGAAACAGCGTATCACCTAGACACAGTAGTTCTTACCAGCAGAAGACACGTATCGACCAGACAGAAAGTTCCTGATCTCCCAATTCCTGCACTGCAGTGCACCACAATAGGTCCATACTCAGGGTTAAGCGAGCCAGATTCTCTCACTTTGAACAAGAAATTGAGGAATGAAGCAGGAGACTCTGGGACTCCAAAGTCAGGCCACGTAGTATAATGAAAGTGCAGAATCTCTCTAGTTTCCTGCGTCTGTAAAAGACAGTACTTATGAAGTCTTTTAGCTAAATACACAAGTCAAAAACTATTCAAAGCATACCTGCTTACAACAATGTTCTAATGAGCAAATAC